GAGCTGAGAGTGACTTCCGTTGTAATAAAGACCATTTGAGTGAATGAAATTTCGTAGGACGCCCCTGAAGCCGCGGATCATTGATTCAATGTAGCTCTTCATGATGGCTAGACCTAAACAAGCACAAAATTTTTTGTAAACTTAGACATTAGCTCACTTTAAGAATATGTGGAATCTAAGGGAAAATAAGTATTCGCTTCAAACTCTGATGAGCAGACCAACTAAAGTACATGTTGTAAATTGAGCTCCGTTTTCTTTAAATAATGTTCATATTACACGAGCCTAATATTAACTTGCCCAGTACCAGACTGTCCGTACCTTGGACCTACAATATTTTTTACTAGTATTCGTAAATTGGTAGTATCCACTAAGAGATGCCCAATTTTTTACCTACTTAGCCTTCAAAGTAAATTAATCCAAATTGTGGAGACGAATTTTGGCCGAGGAGATTGAAATCATAAGGTAACCTAAATCATCAGGCCCTCAAGGTAATCAATTTATTCCTCTAATACAAGCTAGAATCCATTGTATGAGCTTTCATGAATAAAATACAGTTTCAACAAATAAGGATATGGTAGTATAGCCAATCTAACCTGGCTTATCTGTGATTAGAAGGATATCGTCGAAGGTTTTTTGTATTTATTTTGCCTTAAAGAGAGATTAATCTATCGCAAATTAAGTTAAGAAATGCAAAAATTTCCTATACCCCGCGAAAAAGTTGTCGGAACCATGAACATGAGTGCCAAAAAGCCTTTAGTCAACACTCAAATTGATATAGGATCTATTGTGTCCATTTTTGTTGATTAATGAACTATAGGACATTTTCAGTCAAATAACATCCTTCCAAATATTTATTTACTCGGTAAAGACAATAAGGAGACAGGTAAAATGACTTATTATTTAAGATAACAAATGATGTTCAATTTTAAGGCAATACTGTAGGATGATAAGCAAGCAAATTTCTGATTTTCTAAACTGCTCATAGGCTAAATTTTTTTACAATAGAAGGTAGCACTAAGAAGAAATCAAAGAAGGTCGGCGGATTCTGAATTTTGATCTAAAATAATAACTGTAGACTTGAATCTTTTGAGTGGTGTCAACATATTTTTTAGTTATCTGAAGGTCAAATTATAACTACATCAAAAAAATACAATGTAATTATCAAATGCTAGGCGATTTTTAACCTTACAAGCGATGACTAGAGAGGTCGCTCATCAGGCAACCTCCAGAGATATATATTTTACCAGCAATTATATAAAGTGAAAACACAAACTTGTAAAAAAATCATTTATCTTCGATTTCTAGAATGATATAAGCTACAGAGCAGCAGACCTAATCATCTAACAAGTTTTCGTATATTCTTTAGTAAGAATAGCCAGTCATTCAAGTAAAGATTCATAGTATCGTAGATGTCGAATGATGTTTAGAGGGATTAGTAAATTGAAGCATAATGAAAAATTTAAATGCCTATGGTTACCTGACATATTGCTCCAAGAAACCGAGTACTTAATAAAATCTCCTAAGATATTTCCATCTGAATGAGGTGTGAAAAGCCATGAATTAAAGTATTTTATCCACACAGATCAAAAACAATTTGTAACTCATTGGTCAGACGCAAGGCAGCGGCTAAAAATATAAAATTACATTCATAAATAGGTTACCTTCAGGATCATTTAATCACAGAAGAATGCAGGCATCCAAATTTATTGCATGGGTATATCCACTATGCTACCACTTTTCATGGAGAGGCTTAAATGAGGGAACTCCCAACCTCCTGTTATCGTAAATTATTTAAAGGATTTCATCGTTCTTTATTTAATGTGGCTGGCGTCTTTTTCGTAAAAATAGCCCAAGAATTGAGACATTTCCAGAAGCTTGTCAGATAAAAGCGAAGAACTTATATCGGCTCCACTAAAGTCGAATGAAGTTTTGTATGCTATACATTAATTCAAGGTAATGCTAAAGGCATCAGCCTCTAGATGTCTTGTAGAGAGATAATTTCATAAGGCTTCAATCCCCCACAGGAAGCGATCAATATAGCTATTCAAAGGATCTAACTCAACACAGTATGCTATAGTCATAAAATTATGTTTATTTTGAGGTTGTAAATACTAATTATATAATAACTAAGTAGATTAGAAGTGGTTTAACCTCGTTGTCGCAACTTGGTCTTGTTGCCCAGGAGACTTAATAGAACTCACTCGGTCCAAAGTCCTCTGCCATACTAGTTATAATAATTCCCAGCATCAGATAGTGGAATTGGCATATTCTCAAACGTTTCGCCGGCATCGTAGTCGGCAGCATCAATGAGTGTTGCCATTTTACGCACCAAGCTACGAACTCGTGAAAGAGATAAGTGAAGTAAATCCTTCGGGGGTGAGGGTTCGGGGCGAATAACAGGTGTGATTAGGCCACACTAGATTCGCCACAAAGTGACAGACATTTTTACGAGTGGAATGTAAACAAGTGAGAAGCTGTGATAGAGCTGGAGTTTGATAAGAGGATAAAGATTAGATAGATAGGCCAGGAGTGATAGTGTAACCTTTTTCGGCAAAAGGTTGGTTGAAGGATTGACTTCACTTGTCTCTTTGACGAGTTCGTAGCTTGGTGCGGAGAATGGCAAAACTCCCTGGTGATGATGACTAGGATGCCGGCGAAACGTTTGAGAATGTACCAAGTACACTGGTGAGAATTTTGATAACTACTATGGCAGACGACTTCGGAATAGGTGCGTTCTACTAAGTCGCCCGGACAACAAGACAAAGTTGCGACAACGAGGTCAACCCACTTCTATTAATCGAAAGGAGACTTCGACCATAATGGAGGCCACACCATCTTGGTCTTCATATCTTCGATTAAGTATATTAGTGTAATGAGATGGAAGTCTCGAAACCTTACTTTCATATAAGCATATTAGGTTTATTAAAGACTTAGTTTGATGAGAACATTAAGTCAGTCTTCATAAAAGCATGCTGACTTAAAGAATTGAGCAGGCATGGAATGTTTAGGCGAACTCTAAATGAATTTTCCCCCCAGCTATATTAGAAATTAAGCCTGCAGGTCCGAAAACAAGTATAAATGCTTGGACCTAGACAAGGACCCACTATTCTGAATACTCAAATCCGTTTTCTGAGACTAGGAATATCAAAAGTAGAGATGTGTATATTAAGATTAAAATCCTTTACATGTATTTAATTTACTAACTATTAAAAAGGTAGAGAAAATGGACCAAATTTATTCCCAATTATGTGATTACCTTCAAAAAGTTCTTATCTATAACATCAAACTTCATGGCCTCCTCAGGCAACTGGGCGCGAATATCACCTCCAACAAAAATGCCTTCAAGGTACATCCATTTTCGCTGCACAAGCATCCATATATCAAGCACTTCACTGACATGGCTAAGGCTGCGCTCCCATGATTGCACAGTAGCCAGAAAGGGGCCGACGAATCTACTGGCACCCATCGATTGCAGGCTCATAGAGTTGTCATCCAAAGTCTGCAAAATTTCATCTACTCCAGACAAAATTGTTCCACGTGTTTCTTTTCCTTTGGAGTATGGTTGAAGGTCAAATTTAAGACTGGCCCAGGTTTCCTCGACCTCGCGGACGCCCTGTAGATCAAAGATTAGGGATAGGATATTTGATGAGTAAAACATTTCTTTATGCAAAATAAAGAGGACTGTACATTACGGAAGAGAGCAATTAAACAGCAATTAGTATTGATACTCAGAAAAAAAGATAAGATCGAAGCATAGCTTTGTGCTATTTTAATTAACCAAGTATTCTATGCCATTTTTGCAAACTTTTAAATTCCAGCTTAGTGACGAATAACTGGAGACAAAGGGGGTAGATAAGTGTTAAGCATGAAAAAGCTGGGTATATGGTCAGGGTATCACAAAGCCTCGCGGACTCTAATGTATATACACAGTGAAAAAGTATGTAACCGAATCATGCAGTGAAGGCAAGCGGCAGTTAAATTCTTGAAACTCTGCCTATAAAACGAAAAAAAGAAACTAAAGCAAGAAAAATACATACACGTTTTGAAAAAAGATGTTAATGCAACTAATAGCCATGATATGCTAAAGATCACAGACTGGGGGGCATGATCAAACATCACCTATAGCGACATAAGCAAAAAATGCGGTTGCTTTATAGATAAACATTTCAAATGTCCCACATAAAAGAGTTTAAAGACAATTTTAAAGGCCTTAGAAAGTTTATATAACATGCTAAAGTTGAAGTGGTCAGTTTAAATCAAGATCATGGTCATTACACGGGCTCGTGTGATTGCTGTTTCGTTTATGGCATAAAAAGGGAGATGTAAAAAAAGACCGAAGGTGACTTGATCAAGAGAACATAATGACTTTGTTCTTAGTTCCCTAACTCATTGTGCACATTGGTGGGACAGAAACAAATGACTAACCGAAGCAAGTTGCTTTGCCCGGGTAAGTACAAATAAGCATGCCTTTTAGCAACAAGCTATAGTTTTCTCTCAAAATTTATTTCTTCAAAGATATAAATAACAGGATTGTATGGTCCCTATTTTTGTGAAAACCTCTATTCTCACTAGATATGCGGTATGACCTCTTCACAATTCAGTCGTGTTATCAGGACGACTTTGATGAGCGCACAGTGCTACGAGTCTTATAACTAAGTTATTGTTATAGTTTCCAGTTCGAGACCCTGCACTTAGAGCATCATCTGACGTTTCTCCGGAAAACATAGTGAGGCTTGCCAGTCTTAGCAACAATCTAAAGCAGGTCACAGATAACTGAAGTCCATCTCATGACTAACCTTGCGTTGTACGTCAAAGATGCTGAAGGTCGACTACCAAGCACCTATCTTCATAGCTTACTCACTTTCATCACGTCGATCTTGCCTATACTGAACTACTCCAGAGATGTCCTCTTTTCGGTGGATTTATGCAGGAGTAATACTTCTAAGGTGATGAAGGACTGGTAGTAGAATTTTCCCACAATGATATGAATTGAGCTGACGTTTCCATTAAATTTCACATATCATTGTAGGGAAAATTCTACTACCAGTCCTTCATCACCTTAGACGAAATAGGTTGAATAGATCTCACATTATTGATTTACTGGTAGTCTCGAAACTCTACTCCAATACGAAAATAAGTAATGTAGTCGATTGCTATAGCAAATATAAGTTGCTTCATCAGCACTCCCATCAAATTATATTCGTAAGTAACGTTGTTGATTGCTATAGCAAACATACGTTTGCTTCATCGGCACTCCCACCAAACGATTATGATATAGCAAAGAGGCCTGACCTTCCTTGAAATTCACTTATGCCCTGTGACTCAAGGGTACTCGTGGTAGTGTAGCCGAGTGGTTAGCGTTTCAAGCTCCCATCTTGCACTGTCGCGGTTCGACTCCCGCTGAGGGTGCTGATAGGACCGATGCGAGATCGAAACTGCAGTCCACCCTGGATGATAACAACTTC